AGAGAGAGCAAATTTTAGACCTTTGTCTTGCTCTCTAGATATAAAAGATTTTGTGCTATTTTTATGACTTCCGGGACTGGTACCCCCTGGCGACTTAAGCTTCTGTTGTCCTTATTATATTTTTCATATTTTTTATTATTTTATTCTTTGTTTACTTTTTGCTATTGTTCTCCTTAATAACTCTTCTTTTGTGGTATAAACTTCCAACATAAGAAAGCATTTAATTTTTTAATTTATAAAAGATTACAAGAAATGTGCAAGTAAAGAATACGGATAAAATAGAAAAGATTTTGAAAAGAAAAGATTTCACAAAATTCGTATTAATTTTGTGACAATGAATAATTTTTTTTTTACTTGACTTTCTTTTTTGAACAAAAAATATAAATCTATAGGCTTCATAAGTATATGTTTAAAGCTATTACACATTTCTGATTGTAGCTTACATAATAAAACACAATAAAATGAATACTCCCAAGAAGCTGTGTGGGCTTTATTTAATGTAAACACTTCATTTGCTTCCGAAATTATAAGTCGAAAAGTCGACATCGTTTGAGCGCTCAAGAATAGGCTCAAATGCGCAAGTCTTGAAAAAAGAAATGAAGTCAATTTCAAAGAAGATTAGTCTGCACTTGAAACTTGTTTACTTTTTACACATAATCTCTTAATTTACTAAGCAAATTAAGTGCCAACATGATCAAGTATATAATAAAGCATACTGTTTCATCTATATATTAATATTGCTTCTAGAGTTTTTCCAGGTTCGTACAAACTTATTTAAAAAAGCAGAAATTCTTACCTCCCTGAGACATTTGGTTATTGAATGTATCATTAGTAAACATTTCAACAGCCGCATCTTTTCTAACTTCAAACGTTCTACCATCTTGAAATGTTTTAAATTCTAGCGATTCTATATTTCGAACATGCGTGAAAAAGACCAAAATATTGCATAAAATTGTAATTAATTCCAAAGCTTGCTTATTCATGTTCACTTTTCTAATTATTCATCCCTTTCGGATTTCGATGAAAAGGAAAATGCTAATTTCTCTTCAATATCTATTTAAAAGGCGCTATCATCGGTATCGTTGTCCGTTAATTTCTTATCGCGTTTGAAACGGCTTATAGAACAATGACAATTAAACGTTAGACAACTAATCATAGACATCAGAAATATGATATTAATCTGAAATATTAGAAAATGTGTTGAAGAATTCTATTTCTAGAATTAAAACAGATATTTTCTTCTATTCCTTCTCTTAACTTTTACAACTCTTAATTTTTCCTAAGCAAACTTGAATCATTTCTTTTCTCTTTATTTTAAGTTTTTTTTGTCTAATTTCAAATAATATTTAATGGTCTTTTTCTGTGCAATTTTAAATTTTTAATGATCAGCTACTGTTACAACTTAAAGAGAAAAAAACCACTTCTTTAAGAAAATAAAGCTTATTACAATATTTTTTTAATATTCTGTTTCAGTAAAATCAGTGTTCGGGAATAATGTAAATTTTCGAGTTTTGCACGACGCTTAAACCACTAAATGCTTATGTTCCTTTTCTGAAAACATTAGCACTTGATTCTTTTTAAAAAGAGACAAAGCAGTACTGTAATTTTTATGCTCTTAGCTACCAATAGGTTGTAGTTCAAAGGCTCCAAAAGTTGGTAGATCCAAAAAGAAATTTCCACCTTTATTTAAGTGCGAACGCCCTGTTCTTGAAAACAGTTTTGTCACAATAATTTGTTGCGTTCACGCCCCTTCGATAAAGTTATAATTTCTTTGAAATAGTAAAATGGCAGTTGAAATACAATGGCACACAGCAGTTTTGCCAAAGTTTAAACGCAAGCAATCATGGATGCATAAATAGGGATGATTCTTCAGAAAGGGAAATAATCAAGAGTATAAAATTATTACGTTAAATAAATAATCTCAAGAAAACTAAAGCAGTGATATATTTTACTTAAGTAAAAAAAGAAAAAAAAATTTTTTTCTCTCTCATTCACGTCTGGAAAGTCTTGAAAATGGCCACTTATTTCTTAACACTTGAAAGTTGTCGACTATTATTTTTTATTTGTATATTTTTGAAGGAATGAAGTTTTTAATCTAGACAATTATAATAAGTTAGCTTTGCAAAAACGAAATGTCGAAATGCACCGAATAAAATATATAATAGCCAAAAAAGTAATCAGAAATTGACTTACAGATAGAACGCAATGCTTCAACCACATATGATTCATAAACATACTTTTATTTGAGATTCTTGTCTATAGAACCAAAATGATAGTCTATGTATTTCTATATTTTCATTGGTGCTTAATTCACATTTTTTTTAATTTTAGTGTACACAACACATTGTAATCCCTATTCTTTTTGCATGCGGAAAACTGAACTGGATAAAAAAATGTATTACGGTAAGAAGATTTACGGTCAAATATAATAACTTAAATGTTTTAGAGAAGAGAAAAATATATTAGGATTCTTTCTAAAAAAATCAGTAATTAGGTGATATTTCCTTACTTAGATAAAATTAATGCACTTAGTCAATAATTCTAAAGTTTTAGAAATTTTCATAAGGCCAGTTAATTTAAAGCTGGGGTATTTTTTTTCAATTATATAAAAATTAGAACACACTCGTTTTGTTTCACAAGACTGTGACATTTCTTCTTATACTGCGCTATTTTCATGCAAACAATAACTAAGGATAGAAAAACTGAACTGATAGTCCTAAATGTCCGTTTTAAAAGAAATACAGAATAATAATAGAACATTATTCCTTAAAAAGCGTTATTCCTTATGAAGATCGAATTTTCGGAAACAGCATTAAGTATATCATATATAAGATAGACAAAGACATTTTCTTTGGATTCTAAGAAACGGACATTATATTGTTTGGATTCTATAAGACAGACTTTCCCTTGCTACAGATGTCTTTCGCTTGCTCTTTGCTTTTTACATAATCCCAGTATATTCTCTGACTACCACTTTAACTACGGAATTCAGCTATGTAATTAAAAAGTGTCGGAAAAGTTCTTATTTCTTTCCTTCAAATACAGATGTGCCAACTTCTCCGGCATCTAGCTAGATATTTTTCCCAAATAGTTAAAGTAATAGCATAATTTCTGTTTTGATAATCGATTTAAAAAAGATGTTGCCCACCACAGTATATAAAAAAATAGAAATAAGTAGCACAGGGTTGATGTGCACTTAAAAAAATTATAAAGTGGTAGTAATATTTAAAAAAAAAGTTATATTATTATGTTTGTGTTAACCAGAATATTTTATTTTCTCTTCTAAGCAAAAGTAAATAGATCTGAAGGTGTCGAATAAAAAACTTTATTTCGATAGTAAAAGCTAATATTAAGAAATTTTGAGCTTCTTAAAAACAAAATTGGTCAGTAATTAATTTTTACAAGAAGTGCACACTTGGTTTTTACATGGCGACACTTTAAGAAAATTTGCTTATTTATTTTAATATTGTTTTAACCCTTTGACGGTTATGAACGAGTTCAGCTCGCAATTGAATCGTGCCTCATAATGCGTGCAAACGAGTTCCGCTCGGGAGCAAGATTTTGACAGTAATGGTTAGTAACGAGCACTACTCGCGTAGTGAAATTTTTCCCCAATGCGCCCTGACGAGCTGAGCCCATTCGCCATTATTATTCTGCATTGACTATGTTAAAAACGAGAAGTACGTAAAAACTGTTATTTATGTACTACGAATTCTTTAAGAAATTTTTGAAAGGCGTGAGGCGAGCTATCTACCGCATCCAGAGATGCCAACTTGCTCCACTTTGTAAAATAGCATTTCCTAGTGATAGCGAAAGTCAAGTTACTTTCAGTTTAGTATTTCTCTCTTAAGTAATTTTTTCACCACTAAATATCAAAAACTATAAGTAACATATAAAATGCAACGTTTGAACAACAATCTACTGGTTACTCTATTAAAAAGCAGGCGTAACTGTCCTTCTCCAACGAAATTTACTACATAATTTGCTACCATTTTATTATAACAATTCTAGAAGAAGGAGCAGTTGGCATTGCTAGAGAAGGGTGACATTTTCGGAAGAACGGCGGTAGAAAACAGCTGCCACTTTCGACTACTGTTTGCACGTAATACTGCGCGAATTAATGAAACGAAAATTGCTCATTTCCCTGACCGTCAAAGTGTTAAATAACATCGAAGGTAAACTTCTGTGTTCTTAATCTCTGCCTTATAGAATATGAATAAAGATGATGGACATCAGGAAACTATCACTTGGGAGGGAAGAAAGGAATAACTCTTTAACTTTTCTTCCGAGGATCATTTTTTCCGCTGGTAGTATAATTAAAATAAATTATAATTAGAGACAGAATTTTTTTTTTTTTTTTTGCATTTTGTCAAAGCTTAAACACATGATAGAATGATTAACATACATTTATGTGCATGTTTGATATGTTTAAATGTAGTTGTGGTAAAAATTATTGGAAATTAATTTAAAAAATACAGAGAAAAAATAAAAAGCATACATTTTACTACCACTTTAAATTGAAAAGTACGATTTTATGAAAAATCCATAAATGTTATCAGCTATGATAGATGTAAAACGGGCAATTTAAACATTGCTGCTTATGTACTGTTTCTTATTTATTATTAGAACCTTGAATCGAATTGTATTGTTCCCACTTCAATTGTTTTAAATAATAATTATAAATAAGCGTAGTTTTAAAGTATTTCTTAAACTAATCTATCAGCGTTTAAGCTTATATCATTATAAATCAAATCATCAGTAAGGCCTGAGCCAACACCTCCTACAACTGAAGGCTTTTACATAGGTTTTTACAGGTAGTCCGATCAAACCACATCACTATGAAAATAAACCAGTCTATGAAAGCGCCATTTAATACAAAATCTAGTAAAAATAAGAAAGTGATTGCCAACATCTGTCCTTAATATAGGGATATTATTGGTTTGTCTTAATATAGGGATAGTATTGGTTGTAAGTATTTACTTGTCTATCACCCCAGATTTATTTCTCAAATATATAATTTAAAATTCTTTCAATTATTATTAATATAAAATTTCGGTACATGAGCACAACTGGTTTAGTTACTAAATAGTCTGCGCAGATAATTATGCAGAACCGGGCAGAGGCTTTCTGATGTTGGAGGTTATGTCTGAACACTTTAGGAAGAAACATTGATACTCCTTGAAAAAACTGTATATCTACTAAAAGTATAATTCCAAAGAAGTTATAAAGTTTCATAATATTAACCCGTCCCGGAACACCAGATTTCAATAGAGAACTTTATTTAGGTTGTATATTCTATGCGAAGCGACATACTTTAGTTCTTAGTTGCTTGAAGAACATTGCTTGCTAAACGCTTGAAAGCAATTAGTTTTACATTTCTAGTGGTTTGTAGCATTTGTTAAAGTAGTGTTGTCAGAATGGCTGCATTGAACTAGAAAAAGTTAACCCCAGTATACAAAAGTAAACATTTAATGACATCGCAGAAATTCAGTTATTGTTGTTGTGTAATATTTGTTTAAGCAGCGTCGCCAGAATGGCTGCACTGAATTGGAAAGGGTTACAAAGCCAGTATACAAAAGTAAACATTTAATTACATCGGAGAAATTAGTGCTGGTGTGTAAAATTTGTTGAAAAAGTGTTCCCGGAATAACTATTCTGAACTGGAAAGGATTAAAGCAAACCGCAAACACAACAAAAAAAGTAACAGTAGGTGTACGGAAGTAAACGCTTAATGACGTAACAAAAATTAAGTTAAAGTTTAACAGTTTTTAGTAAATTTTGCTGTATTGTAAAAAGCAGCTTTAACCAACTAAGGTGCTTTTTCTGTCTCGTCAAGTAGCGTGCCAGCATTTATCTAAAATCTGAATTATGAGAAAAAAAACCGTGATCCAGTTTAAAGCTTTTAGTGTTCTAATTTTCTAAATTATTCTTATTTAATAGCCTTAAATTCTGTTCTACACTATTAAAAGTGTAGCAACATATTGAATCACAATATTGTCCATATCTGCAGCACCATGAATACGGGCCTAAGTTGAACAACATCTCAGAGCAAATTATTTCCGTTTAAGCTAGTTCAACTCGAATGGAAACATGGTTTCACTTTTTACGTCATTAAGTTTGCAGTAAAATTGCGCAACAATGTAGTTTTCTCAAACTGAGTATTTCTAAAAGAGTAAAAAGTAACTTTTTGTGAATACTTACAATTGAACCATATTATATTTGCAAAACCATGATGTTTTATGAACCCTTTTATTTGTTATTATTAAGCGTGAGAAAGTTAGCTACGTTTAAAGGGAAATCATTAATTTTCCTTTCCTGAAGTAGCTATTAAGGTGTTTGGATTTTCTGGTTTTCAAAGGGTTAATTTTCTTCCTCTTTTGTTTCTTTTTAGCATTTAAGACACAAAAGAAAAAAAAANTAATTTTTTTTCAGTATACAGTGATTGTTCTGAGACTTTAAAATTGATTTCATTTAACCCTTAAAAAGATTTAAAGTTTGGCGATAATTTCTATCAGAAATAATTTATTGTTATCTAGTAAGTCAGTTTAATTCAAACTCATCATCATTGAATTTTTGCATCATGTTGTAAAAATGTTCGGCCAACCAAAAATTGTGAATTTTCATCAAAGTAAAAAAATATGTGAATCAAAGTATTTTATTTACAGCGTTTTCGGATTTTTTGGATTGGTTCGACTGAAACCTACAAAATGGAATCTGTGCATTTTATATTCAGTTCGCGTTATATTAGTTTTGGCTATCATATATAATTCGGCTTTGGGAGTTTTCATACACATCAAAATTGGAGTAGATAAATTAAGCCTATTTTATGACATTGCTAATATTACAAGCGCAATTGCTTTGGTGCTAATAAATTTGAAGAGAGACGAACTCACGAGGCTATTGACAACTAAAAAAATGATCTCTTGTTTGAAAAGTAATCACCTCACGAAAATAACTATTTGCTCAATCGCCCTGCCTATATATTACGCTATTTCTCCAATGATGTTTGCGAATGGAACTGAAGATACGAACTTTCATACATTTGGATATGTATTCAAGAATCCGGCAGTTCAATACGTTATTGTCTTTTTAGCACGTTTGATGTATTCGCTTTTATACAATGTTTGCAATATGATCACCCTTGCTTACTTATTTGCTTGCCAGACGATTTGCGATAATCTTGGCAAATTGATTAGAGATATTAATGGCACTGCTCCCGAAGAATTCGATAAATGTTTTCAAAAAGAGTTTGCTGTGAAACGATCTGTAATTTTCAGACATTTAAATGAAATTCAGACTACATTCTCACTACCAATATTTTGTGCGTTCAGTACCTTTTTCTGGATGTGTTTCTCAGCGACAGGGAGCTTTTTAGCTTCAAATCGAAGCACTTTAATGTACTATATAGATACAGTCAACTACATGATCACTTCATTGCTGGCAATGGTGGTCATCTTGTTTAGAGCTGGTCAAGTGCCCATTGACATCGGAAAATTCCGGAAAGCCTTTTACGAAAAGATAGAGGCCAGGTCTTTGAAGGGAAATAGTTTTAATGGTGGAGATGTGGATCTAACTTTGTACAAGATTCCGAAATTTGTGCTTTCAGGAATAGATATCATTTATTTCCGAAGAAATGCCATTTTAGGATTGTTGGGTGCAATACTTACTTACAGCTTCTTACTGCTGAATGAGAAATCTGCAACCGAAGTCAGCACCAAGTATTCAAATAATACCAAAGGTCCTTAGACTCTCTCCATGCGAGATGATTGCTCTTTTTGAATGCTACTTTCAAATTCGGCACAAAATACCTAAATGTTATTAATATTATCGAAGTAAACCTGTTTGAACAGAATTCCTCAATGCTTTTTTAAAAAAAAAAATTCTTGGCAAAAGAGAAGCACATTTTGCTTTTATTTTAATCAAAAATGGAACATTATAATTATTGTAACTATTAATGAAATAATTCACAACAGTAACCACTAATAGTTTTACTATTCAGATACATATGCTTCTCAGATACACGATCATTAGTCACACTCTATCCGACTATGATTACTTTTTTAAAAGTCGTCACAAAATATTTAGGCAACAACATCGACGACGCACCGTATCCGACCATTATTGCTCTAATGTCTGTTTCAGAAGTCGGCACAAAATGCTCATATGTTATAAATATTAACCGAAGAAGACTTGTTTGAACATGCTTATGTTTTTAAAAAACTCTTGGCAAAAAGTCACTTTGCTTTTACTTTAAATAGAAGTATTATAATTATTGTAAATATTAAGAAATAATAATGTTACGATTTAGCTATTCAGATACTTGCTACTCTGATATATGATCATTAGACACACTCTATCTGACTACGATCGCTCTTTATCACTATGCACTCCCCGAGGTCAATATATAATTAATATAAATACATATAATTAATATATATAATTAAACTCAAATATAGTTAATACTTTCCGACACCGAAGTAAAAATGTTTAAACAGAATTCATCACGGATTTATTTCGAAAGCTCTTTGCAAGGAAAAAAGTTTCATTCAGCTGGGATAGGCATAGTAACCTTGCAACCTCCTGTAACTTGGAAGTTTCCTTAACCCTTTTGAAGGCCGTGGTAAGCATACTTACCACCACGTTTTACCACTTTTAATATAGGTTTCCATTTTTCAATAAGTTCAGCTTTCTTGAAGTGAGTTTAAAATTGGTAACCATTTGTCACTTTTAGGAAACGTATAAAAGTTATAAAATACATAATTCCTTTTGAAGTTTGTATTATTTAAGGAATTTATTTTATAAATAAAGAAAAATAAAAGACAGTAAGTTCCTAATAGGTCATGTTAAATATATTTACCACAAAAAAAATGGTATTTTTATAAACTAAATGAGTTTTTTTTCTTAATATCAATTACTGTTCTTGAAACAATTTCAATTCCAAAAATACTTTAATTTACCTTTACTAGAAATAAAGGGCCCGTTAAAGGGTTAATTTTTATTGAAACGGTCTAACCTTGGAAAAAAGTTATCCTGATTGCACGTTTAGGGATTCCGCCTGTCCCCCTTTATACAGAAGTTTAAATGAATTGGTTGTGAATTAAATAGTCAAACTTGTACAATAAGGGTGATTACGCCTACTCATTAAGAGGGTCATCATGAGATAACAGCACAAAAATTGCATTTTATATCATACTTTGAATTTGTGATATGTAGTGGTGGAAAAAATACTTAAAATGAGAAATACTAAACTTAAAAAAAACTTAAAGGTCGTTACCAATAGTAAAAGTTCTTTCACAAATCGGAGCAAGTTGGCATCTATGCACAGTGTCTGTTATAGAAAAAAGCAAACGAAGAAAAGAAATTTACAAAAGCCTGATTAAAGAATAAAATTTATTTTTCACACTTTTTTGTCAAACATAACATATTATTATATTAAATATAAAAATATAGGACTAAGATTAATTTTTCAATTTTTTTTCTTCGTCGATTACCGTGAGGTGTAACAGGGTTGCTACAGCTTTTCAGAAAATAGAACACAAGTTAAAAATATATACGAAATAAAACAATCAAGCAAAAAACAGAAAATACTGAACAAAAAATAAAACGAATTCTATGAAGTGAGTAGCGAATTCAAATGAACGGAATTTTTCAAGTCACACGTAGCGGAATCTTTCAAAAATGATTTAAAATAATATCGTAATAAGACTACCAGATTTCAAAATATGAAAACAGATGCTCAACTGGAGTTAGAAGCGTAATGAGAGGGAATCTTTTATATCGCGTTCTTACAACAGTACTAAAGAGCGGTTGATTTGTTAGTTACATTGGATTGGCCCGAAGATGTATGTGAGCAAGGTAATTATATTATACTGGATAATTTAAAGTTTATAATTAATAAGGTTGATATTTAATTATACAATTTTAATGATTTTAGAAAATTTGCATATATTAAAAAAATGAAAAGAAGAAATGAAACATGATATGCCCGTTTTGCGCCGATTTTTACCTACGGATTTGCCCGAATTTCATTTGCACATGATAAAAATATAAATTCACAAAGAAGTTTTTAGTAAGTTAATTAATATTATCATACAATTAACTCTCATTTCATTCAACTTATATAATACTTAATGACATTAGTTGGGTGTTCATTGTTTTTTGTCAAATTTTGAAATAGTTTGTATATTTGGTTTTAGTATAAATAGAATTACTACATATTCTTTTATTCAATTCCTTTGATTAAAAATGGTATTTAAATATATGTTTTTAGAAACATTCAAACTCCAAGTAATCAGTTTATTTATATTAAAATTAAAATCAACTCCTCTATAAACCGATTAAAATTAACTCCTTTTTCCAGATATAATCGTGTGAACTGATGACGAGATTATATCTTTTTATTATTTAGTTTACCGGCTTTTTAATATTTTTTTTAATATTTTTTTAAAAATATTTTTGCAAATATTTTATTTTAATAATTTTCTTCTTCATTAATCTTTATTAGATAATTTTCTATCTTTCTTCTCTATATTTTTAACTTTATATATATATAGTATATTTTTGATCATTGCAAATTAATAAATTCAAAATTGTAGCGATATTTCATATGGCTGAAGAAGTTTATAGAGCTCTCATAATCTCGTTAATCAAACAATGCAATGCAACATTCTTTCACTTCTTTGTTATGGGAACAATTTATTCAACCTGAAACAAGACAAAAAATATATTACAGATAGAAGTCATAAATAATAATGACTCATATGGATTATTAAAAGAATAACTGGTAACTTTAAATATTAAACATTGAAAGAAAATTATCCCGCTTAAATTAAAGAAGTTTCAATGCTAGTAAATAAGATACGAATTTCCTTAACGTTGAAGTAAAATAATAATTAAAATGAACAATATGTACTTAATTTAACAACGCATAAAAACTTAACATTATTGTAAGATCTTCTTTAGTTATTCATATTGCTTATAAACCATAATACACTGCTCGAAACAGTTAAAAGATATTGAAGTTGTGGATTGATCTTGCTCCCGGAGAATTGTTTGAATAATTGACACATTATCGACAGACCTAGTAAGTTATATGAGATAAAAATGACATTAGTTTTGTAGAAGAAAATGCGTTTTATTGAGCATTTGGGTACAAAAGGAAAAATCATAATTTGTGCATATGAGAAAAACAAATAAAAAAAGTTGTTCCCTTAAAAAGAAATCGTTTTATAGTTTCCCGAACGGCCAGCAACGTTGAACGCCTTTGAAGCATCGAGTCAATGAGGTTTTTTATTATTCTGAGGCTGGTTACTGAAGTTATAATTCAGGGACTGATGTATTCTGCCCCCCTCCTTCAGAAGAACTCTTTCCGGTTCTTGGAGAGTTTGTGGGGGTGGTGGAAGCTCGTCTGCTTAGAATGTCCCAAGCACGCTCGATTGGGTTCATCTCCAAAGAACATGTCAGCCAATCTATTCTTGTTATTTCTTCTTCCAAAAGGAAATCATTCGCCAAAGTAACGCGATATGGCCTGCAATTGTCGTCCATTAACCAATTGCTACAGCGTAAGGGCCTGCAATAAGACTCAGGGTCTCATCCCTATAACCAACGACCGGTCAGAGCTTTATTTCAAATGATATGGATATTGGTGCTCCAATCATTGAAGATGTCAGCATTGACCATCACTAAATGTTACACTTTCTTTCTCGAAAGCAGGATTGTTTCTAGTGCCACGTTCCCTAAAGATGCTTAACGCTACTTTTAAAATGTTTTAAAATGTTATGTCAGCCCGCTACTACTTAAAATGTTTAAGAAAAATCTATAATTTAAGTAACACAAGCTGCCATTTAAGTTGAACGTTGAACATTTTAATTTAACATCCATTCTTTTAAAGTTATTTTTTTAGACTACAATTGGTTCCATCTTGATTTTGTAATTAAGAGTGAGTAAAAGGTTAATATTAGTCAAACATTATAATTAGTTGAAATTTTCTTGATAATACTTCTTTTAAAAATGAAAGCTTAAGCACTCGTTGAAACGTGATCTGTCAAATACTTGCTGAACTTATAAACTTCATTTAACTTTTTACACGTCATTAAAGCAGCAAAACTCGCACCTTTTAATTTGAAAAAAATTCCATTAATTGCAAAATCGAGCTTACTACAATAATTTATAATAATTATTTATGTCTAACATTTATTGATTCATATTTAGAATTACAGTAGTTGTGCCAAAAGTAAAGCTAGCAAATTAATCAAAATAATTATATTAACATTTTTTCCTTCCAGATTTTGATTTCGCTGTAAACTAATGAATCATACGACGTCTTAATTAATAATAAAACCTTCCATTTCTGAATTTAAACTTTTTTCAAATATATTCTTTAATTATTTTTCATATTTTTAATTTCAAAATTCTTTTTTTTTTCGGAACAATAAAATAAATTGAAATATTCATCTAGAACTCAAGTGATTAACTTGACATATACCTTTTAAACGTTAGTGCTGCCAATGCGGCTCCACCAAGAACCATCAAAAAAGTAACTCCCAAAAAGCTAACTACAACAAACGTTAGTGTTAGATCTGTAAAAATAAAGAAAAAAATATTATTTTTTGAAACTGAACATTTTTCATTCTGATTGGTGAAATGAATTGAGGGGGGGGGGGCATTGAAAAATAGTTAACGCATTGTTCACCGGGAACGTCATACACGATCAATATTTTGATAACCGAGAAATAATTGAAAATATAATTTTGTTTAGTTTTTAATTCTAACAAAATGAAAATCCGAGCAGTCATTAAAACTGTATTCGTTTTTTTCTCACTGTACACGCCGTATGATAATTAAGAAGCATGGCTTTCTGGGATTTTGTAATTCTTCCGGCTCATTAAAGATAATCTTCAGTATTTCTAATCAGTCTGGTATTTTAGGACTTATTAATAAAATTAGGCAAATTAGAAAATTCACTAAGAATTATTGAATCAGACAAAAAATACTTAAACTTATGGCAATAAGCCATGCAGGCGCTTTACAAAAATCTGTTACAACTCTGAGTATATTAAAAATTGTCTTAACACGTTGAATGCCACGCTAATTTTACACGGTAAATAACTATTACCTAAATTTAAAAATATAGATAGATTTTGCAGGTTTAGCATACCATAGCTGATCATCATCATCATCATCATCAATATTTATCTACGCACCTGGGGCCGTTAGCGGCCTTTTTCCCATTTGTCTTGAATTGTGATTTTTAAGGTGGCTCTTTCTGGTAATTGGAATGCAATTGGAGTAAAAGGAATTTAAGTATTTTGAATTTTAGATAAAATTACGTCACTTCAAAAGTAAGCTGCCATCGGCCTGAGGTTTATGTCTTCTCTTAAGTTTTCAAAAGTAAAAATTTCGTTGAATCCTGCGGTGTCACAATTTATGATCTTTTAAAAAAATCTGAAATTTAGCTTTGCAATATGATGATCTAAAAAATCTATGTTGAGGTCGCGATGTATGTTTTTATTTCGGATAAACCATCTTGCTTTTGTTATTTTCCTGAGGATTTTGTTCTGGCATATTTTGAGTTCTTTAAGGAGTGATGTAGAGATGTTGCACCAAGCTGGAGATGCATAAGTCAGGATGGGACGGATCATTGAGATGTAAAGTAAACGTTTAAGTCTAAGTTCCATTTTATGGTTCTGAAGAAAGATTTGTAATCTGTGGCAGGCTGCTTGTGCTTTGTTGATAACTGTTTCGACGCGATCTTTCCAATTAAATTTACTGTTAATGACCAGACCAAGATATTTTGCGCTTTTGACTATGGGAATAATTTCATTAAAGAGAACAATTTGATTTTTGGGGAGGATGGTTTTTCTTTTATGCTGAATGATTAGTAGTTTTGATTTTTGTCCGTTTACTTTGAATATCCAGTCTAGACACCATGTTTCGATTTCCTTCAGTTTTCCTTGGAGTTTTTGTAGGGCAATGTTGGGGTTTTTTGACTTCACTACGATTCCAGTGTCATCTGCGAAAAGTGCTGTGATGCTGTTAAAGTCTTGTTTATCGACAGGAAAGTCGGGGGTAAATAATATAAATAATATGGGCCCAAGAATGCTTCCTTGGGGCACTCCTGCTGTTACTTTTCTGTTTGTTGACTTCATATGTTTAAAGCTCACTTGAAAAGTTCTATTATGTAGGTAGGCTTGTATGATTTTTATGATACCAGATGGGAATTTCAGTTTTATCAGCTTGAAGATGATGCCCTGGTGCTAAACCCGATCGAATGCTTTTGCTATATCTAGCATCAGAAATGCTGAACGCATACCATAGCTGAAAATAAATAGTGAATTTTATATGCCTACGAATTGTTTAAAAATAGTGGTGAATGAAAATCTACTAAATTGAATTTATTAAACAAAGAATCACAATAATTAAGTAAATTTTGAATAAATTTTCTACAATTCCATAAGAGAGTGTAAATTTTATAGTTCTATATCATGTTATATGCTGCCAGCCAGCTGTTTATCGCGGCTTATTTGAAAGGTCAGTGTCAACAAGCTGTGGCAGACGAAGCCTAAATGTAATATCAGTGTCAGCCATCGGTGGTTGACTCTGCCTAAATGTGATTTCAGTGTCAGCCACCGGTGGTTGACGCGGCCTAAATGTAATTTCAGTGTCAGCCACCGGTGGTTGACGCGGAGCTCAACGTGTTAACTAAACCAGGAAAATTGATCATTGAATGGTGTTTTTATTAATGAGCATAAACAATAAACCGTTAGAACTCTGAATGTATTCTAAATTGTCTGAACTAAAGACGGCTTTTATCTACATTTAAAATACCCAACAGAGCATTTATATATTATTGGTTTTTTAATTTTTGAAATAATGTGGTTGATAGTTGTCAAATTAGAAAAAAATTTACTTTTAGAGAGGTGAAATTGCTTACTTTTGTTTGTTGGTTCAATAATCAAATTCATTGTTGTTGTTAAAGTGGGCTGAGTCTCACTGCCTCTCTCGGTGGTGATCGATGTTCTAATAGTTTCTTTATCAATTGTACTAATACTTGAAGTGATTTCAGTCGAAGTTTCATCATTTATTACTTGCGTTAAAGTATTTGTAGCAGTTAATGAAGGTGTGATAGTAGATGGACTTTCACTGTAAACTAAAAGATGTTATTACGATTTATCAAGTTCGTTATACATAGGTAACCTAACATTTTATTATTTAATTAGTCTGTATAATTTCAATCAGTAATATTTCTTAATCAATAAAACAACCATTAGTTGGACATTAATAAATATTTATCGCTAGCTTAGAATCAGAACGTTTTGTTATAGCATTTTAGAACTTCAAAATACCGTAGACCGATATTTTTTCATAAATTTATTGCAGATGGAGTACGATTCAATGAAAAGAGTTAATAGTGTAATTATTTAAATTGTTGCATGCACAGTAGATATTAGATTTAGAGCATATTTTATATGCATAGTATATTCCTTAATATAAATACTTTTGAATTCACAGATACAAACTAAGAAATTATATGCAAATTAAGGAAATAAGTAAACTCTTTTTGATTTGATTTAAACAACTGCAAGCTAATATTGTTTACCTTTTTTAGCTAATAGTTTTCTTGATAGATTATGAAAATTGAATTTATCATCAATACGTACTCAATTTTGAGATCAAAAGTATGGAAAAGAAAAAAAAGGACTTTCTGAAGTCGAAAACGTGCGTGTCTTATTGACATTACTTAAACAGATAAAACGTAAGTATATTTTCTTGTGGCAGCTACACAACAGAAAGACGCTATTAAAGCAGAAAATTGCTTATTTTTACCATCATTAGTTATCTTCAAATAGCTTTTCGCAGATTCAGATTTTTTTCTTCGTTTAAGCAAAGAAAAGTGATAAATGAATATTTTTACCAATGCATGATGTGTTTATTATTTTGTATCCAGGTGGGCAGTCACATAAATATTTAGATACGTTTTGTTTATCATTGATGCAAGTGAAGAAGTCTCTAGAGTTTTGACAATCATCAAACCCACCATAGTCTTCACAACCTTTTTTTAGCTAAAGCAAAGAAGATCCGGTTTAAATGCAAATAAAGAATTTTATTTTCATTCTCAAATTGCCTTCTATGAATTCAAAAAAAGGAATATGTTTTTTTCTTTCATGAAGTGACAGGTGAATATTTTTACCAATGCATTCTTTTTTGTTCATTTTGTAACCAGGTAGGCAGTCACATGAGTATTTAGATACGTTTTGTTTATCATTGATGCAAGTGAAGAAGTCTCCATACTTTTGACAATCATCAAACCCACCATAGTCGTCACAACCAGTTTTAGCTAAAGCAAAGGAGATCCAGCTTAAATGCAAATAAGGAATTTCTCAAATTCCTTTCTATGAATTTAAAAAAAAGAATATATTTTTTTCTTTCGCGAAACGAAAAGTAATAAAAGAATATTTTTACCAATGCATTCTTTTTTGTTCATTTTGTATCCAGGTAGGCAGCCACATGAGTATTTAGATACGTTTTGTTTATCATTGATGCAAGTGAAGAAGTCTCCATACCCTTGACAATCATCAAACCCACCATAGTCTTCACAACCAGTTTTAGCTAAAGCAAAGGAGATCCAGTTTAAATGCAAATAAGGAATTTCTCAAATTCCTTTCTATGAATTTAAAAAAAGGAATATATTTTTTTCTTTCCCGAAACGAAAAGTAATAAATAAATATTTTTACCAATGCATTCTTTTTGGTTTATTTTGTATCCAGGTAGGCAGCCACATGAGTATTTAGATACGGTTTGTTTATCATTAATGCAAGTGAAGAAGTCTCCATACTTTTGACAATCATCAAACCCACCATAGTCTTCACAGCCAGTTTTAGCTAAAGCAAAGGAGATCCAGTTTAAATGCAAGTAAGGAATTTCTCAAATTCCTTTCTATGAATTTAAAAAAAGGAATATATTTTTTTCTTTCTCGAAACGAAAAGTAATAAATGAATATTTTTACCAATGCATTCTTTTTTGTTCCTTTTGTATCCAGGTAGGCAGTCACATGAGTATTTAGATAAGTTCTGCTTATCATTGATGCAAGTGAAGAAGTCTCCATACTTTTGACAATCATCAAACCCACCATAGTCGTCACAACCAGTTTTAGCTAAAGCAAAGGAGATCCTGCTTAAATGCAAATAAGGAATTTCTCAAATTCCTTTCTATGAATTTAAAAAGAGGAATATATTTTCTTCTTTCACGAAACGAAAAGTAATAAATGAATATTTTTACCAATGCATTCTTTTTTGATCATTTTGTATCCAAATAGGCAGTCACATGAGTATTTAGATACGTTTTGTTTATCATTGATGCAAGTGAAGAAGTCTCCATGCTTTTGACAATCATCAAACCCACCATAGTCTTCACAACCAGTATTAGCTAAAGCAAAGGAGATCCAGTTTAAATGCAAATAAGGAATTTCTCAAATTCCTTTCTATGAATTTAAAAAAAGGAATATATTTTTTTTCTTTCACGGAACGAAAAGTAATAAATGAATATTTTTACCAATGCATTCTTTTTTGTTCATTTTGTATCCCGGTAGGCAGTCACATGAGTATTTAGATACGTTTTGTTTATCATTGATGCAAATGAAGAAGTCTCCATACTTTTGACTATCATCAAACCCACCATAGTCTTCACAACCAGTTTTAGCTAAAGCAAAGGAGATCCGCCGTTTAAAAGCAAATATGGAATTTTGTTTCCCTTTATAAATTTTTCATTTGTATTTTCCTTTATTACATACAATATATATTTCCTTTTGTGCAAAGAAAGTGATAAATGAATATTTTTATCTATGCATTTCTAGTTTGTCGTTTTATAATCAGGAAGCCAGTCACATGAGTATTGAGGACACATCTTGTACAGCATCAATGCAAGTAAAGAATTGTTCTTTCTTTTGGCAGTCTTCATGGCCTCCATAGCCATCGCAACCAGTTATTCCTTAAATATACATTAACCAGTTTGATGGCGAATAAACTAAAAAACAAAGATATTTTCCGTTCTGATTGCTCTTTATGAATTTTGAAAAACAAAAATATATCTTTTTTGTTAGAAATGCTATTATAATTTTAAAAAAAATTTATAATTTTTCTTTCTGTATTCAGGCAGATAGTCATGTCTCTCAATTGAATTGCTACCAAGATATGCTCCTGATTGTAATATCAAACTATATGCAAATGATTGTTTAAAATTATTACACCGGTATTACCTGCAAATGATTCAAAACTTCATAAAAAGCTGCACTTTTTACGAATATCCTCTTGTTAGGACATTTAATACATATTGACAAAATTTATCCGAAATTTGAAAGATTTAGCTACCAAAACGTCAGGTCAGCTGACCACAAAGTGATATTGCAAACATTAAACAAGTTCACAATGCATCGGATAAGGTCAACCTAGTGGCCCAGGTGCCCAGTTTCCGATTAATAATTGGATTTGGAACAACAGAAGAGGAATTCTGAAAGATTTCGTTCTTAATTTTTTACCCATTTATGAAATATTTTGCAAAAGTTCAATATGTGTATATAGATAGAATACTTATGAAGCTCTATAAAAATTGAGTTAGTTAAGATTATGTTTGTTTTGACCATTGCTACTACAGGGAATATATAAAGCTTGTTTGCCAAGATGGCAACTATGAATCTTAATAGGAAATTCCATTACCTGGGCAACTTCCTTCCAAAATGGTCACATCGTCTACAGCCACAATGGATCTTTCATAGTTCGAAAAAGCTAAAAATTTCACCTGTGTGTGTATGTATATATATATATATATATTACAACAAAATAAATAAATACAAGAAAACACGAAGAAAATTAAGAAAAACAATAAGTTTCATTTATTGCGCATAAGCTGCAAGTAAACAGAACTCATTAGATAAGTTCAAAATGAAGATAAAAAAAGGAAAATTATAGACACATGAAAAAAAGGGGGGAAGAAAAATAATAATGGAAAAAAATAACAAACAATTGAAAAAAAAGGATGATTTTTTTCTTTTTAAAAAATCCGGAATATAAAAGGTATAAACTTTTCATCAGTCCACACGATTATATCCACAAAAAAGAGCATCTCTTTTTCTTTTGCATCTCTTCGTTATGAAAAGAGCAGTTCATAACGAAGAATAAAACAAAGAAAAATAATAGACATATGAAAAAGGGGGGGAAATAATAAGTAAAAAATAACAAACAACAGTTTATTAAAAATNTCTACAAACAAAAAAAAAAAAAAAAAAAAAAAAAAAAATTTAAAAAAATTAAAAAATAAAAAAAATCATGAAATGTTAATTAAAAAACCGGAAAATAAAGGATATAATCTTTTCTTCAGCCCACACGATTATATCCGCAAAACAGAGTGCTTNCTTGAAGTTTTTAGAAGTACCATTTTTACCCATGCTATGTTCACGTCGACAAAAATAATCGTTGTAAGTTAGTAAATTCTTGCTTGGCATTTAATACCAGCAATTTTAAAAGTATTCTCTAGTATTGCAATGTTAGATTAAAATATTTTTATTTTTATTTTAAGTGGTTTTGGAAAAGTAAAGAAGCTTTTCTCTTCCTGTGAGTATTTTTCCGATTCAAATTTTGCGTAGATTAAAAGTACTCCATTTTCTAAGCACTTCTAGCATTTTCTTTTAAACTGTGCAAACAGATTTCCAAGTAAAATCTTCCAAAGCATTTGCTGCTAAAAGAAAATGTGTTTATATAAAGTATAAATGTGTTAGTTTATTACTATTAGTAACTGATTGTTCATTGGTGAAGTTTCAGTAAGAAGGCTTGTGAAGTGATATAAGCTTAGACATTACTATTTTCACTGTTTCAAATGAAGTATATTTCAAGTGGTCAGGAAAGACAAATTAAAACACAATTATTAATAAAATAAGTCATTGCAATTTCGTTGCATTGCACTCGTTTTTAATATGTACCTTACTTTTAATATTAGATTAATATAAATTTGTATTTAGTGGTAGAAAAAAATCATGTTGAGTTAAATTAATAAATCCATGATATAAAAAGAGATTCATGAAATCGAATTTGTAAAATCTTCCAAAACATTTACTGCTAAAAGAATAATTATTTACTTAGAGTTAGGATAGAAGTATTTTCCTATTTTCTTCCAAATCCTGCATATCGTGGTTGTCCAAATTGAAGGGAAAAAAATTTCGAAAGTAAATATAACATGGCTAAAAAAACTATTTCATCTTCGAATATTCTTATTAAAACACACATAAAAAGGGAAAAGTTGCTGCGTATGCTATAGTAGCAGATATATTGAGTATTTCAATGTAATCGCATTTTGTCCGTTTTCGCCAAAAATAAAAATAAGTTAAACAAACTGATTAAAATTTGATTCGATTTAAAATTTTTACAACTAAAAAATACGTTGGAAGTCATAAAACGTAATAATTTACACTAAATGTATTATTTCCTTCTTGCTACAATAAATTCCTTAAATTGAATTATTTAAGAGATGCTTAATAGATGTTTTTTTGCAAAATAATGGCATTTCTTACACTGCATTATTTAGATGTGTGTGTGTGTGTGTGTGTGTGTGTGTGTGCGCGCGTGTGTGTGTGTGTGTGTTACAAAATAAAAATTTGTTATAAATCGTTGTATGCGTTATAAATCGTATTTGTTATAAATATATTTTAAAGCAATCTTTGCAAAATAACATGTTCTTCCTGCTAAGGACCTATTATAGCTGTACTATTTTGCAAATGTTTTTCTGTGAGTATTTACCGAGTTTTTTATATCTATATTATCTTAAACATATACTTAGATGCAGGAAAATGTCTTTAGTTAGACAGTTTTCAAACTATAGATTTTTTTAAAAATTTATTTAAATAGTTCCAGTGACGTATAAAAATTTTGAAAAAAGGACTTCGAAATCTTAGGCTTAAGTTCGAAATTTTCTAAGTCATACAAAATTAAATTGAATTTTTAAGTGAACACTAAAACTTAAAACTTCGCAAACTGCCAATGAAACCAGAAAATTTCCTTTTCCTAAAATACAGGGGTGACAAGAGCATCCAATAATGTTAAAAGTGGGGACAAATTAATGGCAAAATTAATTTGCAACTTTTTCTAGCCTATCTTTTTCAGGTTGCCATTGATACAAGTTAGATAAAGTGATTTTCTTTTTAATGTGGCTAATCTGAAAAGTAAGTCATGGTGGTAATTACAATTGAATAATTAAATAAATTATAAATATTTGAAAATGAATTTAATTTCTACCACTTCTTAATTTTTTAGTAGCCAGAGGCAACTCTGTAAAATGTGATTAAACAAACAGTACTGCCAATTTTACTTAATCCTGAGTTATCTTGGAACACATAATTGACGCATATACAAACCCAAAATAACTTGGGACAATATATAATTTTTTACTAGTTGTTACAATAAACTTCACAGCTAATTTAATTTTTTATAATTATTTTTAGTTTTAAAACACTTTACCTGATATTTACCATCCATTTCAACTTCGACATTCACTTTCGTCCACTTTTTATTATCCCCTGTATAGTTTGCAATTTTAGAACTTCTTTCTAAGAAAAAAACAAGCATGAAAATTTATACTATTGGCAATTCTCACCTAGCATCATAAAATCTTCAGAATTATATTGTGGAAATAGATTCGTAAAAATATTGTAGTTGATCAAGCAGTTGTTTTTAAATCATCCCTTAATAATGCTTTTTGTGACCTGGTCGCATACAATCCGTGGTTTTTAACCACTTTTGATTTTTGAAACCTGCAGCTATCTTTTTATCCAATTAATAATCTAATTTTTATATAATATTTTGGTTTATTTAAGAAATTATTTAACCCTTCAACACAGTTGGTACATCAGTGTCTCTTTAACATTTGTGAAGTTCTATTTACATTCAAAAGAATATTTTGGTATTTTTTTTAATTATAAAATATAATATAATAGCAACTTAAAAAAGTCAGTTAGATTATCGAAACTATATTTGTACTAATATATAAAATTCAACAAAAGTAGTTTTTTTTTTCATTCATAATCAAATATTTATCTAAAATTGATATTTTAAATTAAAATTAATGATTTTTGATAATAAAGATTAGAATTCTTCAAATTAAATTAAATTTTAAATTAAAAATAATTTTAATGGTGAATAACTGTCTCTCTTGGATCTAAATAACTACTAATAAGTTTAAATTTTAAAAATTACTGTTTGGAAGAGAGTCGCTTTTGGAAGATTTTATCTTTAAAGCGAAAAAAGTCACCGGTATTTAATGATGTTATACATTAACCAAAAATTTATAAAAAGCTAATTGTCATGTTTTTCATTTAATTTAAACTAAATTAATACAAAAACAATGAAAAAGTATGAAAAATACGTTAGATGAAAATTCTGCGTCAAATGGTTAGGTAAAATGCCAATGAAAAAAGAAATAGAATTTAAATAAATATATATACTTTCCGATAAAAATATATTGTAATAGTAAAATACGAAAACGAAAAGTAATTACGAAAAACTATGCATTTACAAGCAATTGCATTAGTAAACATCATGAAATTAAACAATAGAAAAAACAATAATAAAAAAATATTTTTCAAATCTTCGGTCATTTTTCGGATACAGGTATAAAACGTAAAAATTTTTATAAAAGATAGCAATCACCAATTTTGAATATCAAAAGTTGTGATCGTCTTCTTACGATCAATGGCTACCCATTGGTCAAATGCTTTTTCTTTCTGGATTGACTCCGTTGCACGTAACAACATTTCAAATCATGGGTTGCAAAAACTGTCTCAATTGATGTTTGTAGTCGGATTGATTTTCATAACCTGCTTACGTACTGTTTCTTGACGTCACAAAATACTTTTCCTTCTTCAGCATTCATATTTACATTGAAATCACCGTCAAGCCAGTCATTATACGTTAATAATAAAAATAATATAAAAATACTTTAAATTATTATTTCTTTAATACATTAAATACTTACTCCAATGATCTGGGCTCATAAAAATTTGTAAAAAAATGTAAATTTTACATCGATTTTATTAATTTTCATCGAGGGGCGCCAAATAGACGATTTTTTTTTTAAAAAAAGTTTAATAACTTTTAAAATATGTTTGTTATTTGTGAGTTCTAAAGCCCAGATAACTCTTTACAGCAGAGGTCACCAAAGTGGTCTATATAGACCCCCAGGGGTCTATTTAACATAAGCGGGGGTCGATCTGAGCCAGGGGGTCGAATGGGGGTCGATCCGAACCGGAAGGGTCGATTGGTCGAAGGATTATCAGTATTTTTCAGATATGTGACAATTAGAAATAAAAGAAGAAGACTTGGAAATATATACAGGTAATCTTCAAAAATTGAGCGACGATTTTAAACTGCGTTTTGTTGATTTGGAAAACATTGACATCCCTGATTGGATTATTGTGCCATTTTCTGCTCAAATTGAAAACGTGGACATCAACCTGCAAGATGAGCTTGCTGAATTATTATGGGGATTTGAAGCAAAGACGCTTTTTAAAAATTTAACAATAAGCAAATTTTGGACAAATATAAATATAATGCAAAAATATGTAAGACTTTACGAAATAGCTCAGCCATTTATGATAGCATTTCCAAGTTCCTATATGGTTGAAGCCGGTTTCAGTCACGTAAATTCAATCTTAACTAAGAACAGAAATAAATTAAATGTGGAGTTTCGAGGGGATTTAAGATTAAAATTGACCAATTTTGAACCCAATATAACGAACCTTGAAGAAAAAAAAACACCAGGCACACCCATGTCATTGATTAAGAAGCAATAAATCCGTAGTTACTTTACTTATTATTTCTACTTACTTATAATTACTTATTATTTCATAAATATTAAGGTATTTATATTTCAACATTAATATATTTTTCATAAAACTATTGTTACACTATGTACTATTACTTTAATAAATGTTCAAAATCATAAAATAAATGTACAAACACAGTATCTAATAGAGTTTTATTTTAATTAACAGAAAATTACTTTTATGAGGGTCGATAGAGATTTCGAAAAATTATGTAGGGGTCGATGATCAAAAAAGTTTGGCAACCCCTGCTTTACAGCAATATGACATTAACAGTATATAATTATATCTGTGCTTTATGTGTACGGAGGCTTTACGGAGGCATTTAAACTGCGGCTTTTTAATTTCTCTTGGCGAAAGGGCTTCGGAAAAAAAACCATGCAAACATAAAAACAAGTTGTAAGACTGTTTTTGATAATGAAACAATTTCGACTAATTTAATTCATAATCCGTTTTTTTCTGTTTGTATATTAATAGTTGTTAATGAGCTTAATTTATAAGTCGGCGTTTCGCTAAATGAAGCTCAATTCTTCAGGATTTCGAAACGAAATTTAAAAAAAATTGACAGCCACTGGCATACAAATTCGAATTCTGTTTTTTTTTTTAATAGTAGTATTTTTTTTTTCGTATCCGTCGTTGAACAGCCGACCCAATTTTCGGGTTTACGACTACTAATGTTCAACTCCGTAGCCTTGTAATTTTGAACCAATTCAGAAGACTAGGAAACTTCTGGATCAGTACCCCCGAGATATTGATCTGCTATGGGAACATGGAGAACTTTGCGACTAGGCAGATTTAACGTGCATCGGTCACCATTTGACTACACGGGGAGTCTTCGGACGGCTGGATCGGACCCACGAACTCTTGAACATGGGCCCAGCGCCAGGGCCCAACCAGGCTATCCCGACCTTAATAGTAGTATTTTGAAAAATGTGTT